ATGAGAAATCATTCAACTTATAGGCATCTTAAAATGCTCGATAATAATTTATTAGATTGTATATTGTCTGGCCAAGCTTAGAACTCATTTATTTCAATCTACAGAAACAATGGAGCATTGGAGAACAGCGAACTACGTCCCTTGTTTGCAGCTGCTCAAGTTTGGCCGACCAGTTTCTCTCTCATTCCATCCGATAGAATAGAGGAAAAAGAAGAAGAAGACGCGGAGAATGAGGGCCAAAGAGAGTTTAATCCCCGGCAGAATGACGAGGTGAAGACGCATGAGAACGAGATTGCCCATCTAAGAGAACACATCGGCTTGGACGCCGTTACTATGAGGAAGGAGGATGGGCCTAGAGACCGGTCTACGGTCGCCAGCAACTGGCCGGTGAGTCTACAAAGACTAAAGCCAATTAATCCTTCGCCTGACTGCCCAGTCGCGGGCACAAGGAGTCCAGCCTCGCTGGGCCGAATCACTCTGGCCGAAGAAATTCGCCAGGCCTGGGTCTACCTCCTCCGGCCGCGACTCAAAGCCCCGGTCTGGCAGACGGCATCGGATAGTCCCGCAACAGGCTGCTTCGACTTCAAGCCAAGCAGAAGACAGGAGCAGCAGCAACCACTTTCTTCGCCCTACAGCAGCCTGGTCAGGCGACATGGGCAACTTCTGGACAAAAGTTCTGTTCGTCTGTCCGCAGGCAGTCGGAGGTCTGCAGGGCGGACTGGGAGCAGTACGGAACATGCTGCCTTGGACGTGATTCGCCGGCTGGAGTGGAGCTGCATTGCTGTAGAGCTGGCCGCCGCCTTGGCTCTTACCTCGCAAGAGGCGGCGATCGCTCTTCTGCCGCGAATTGCAGCACATCTTGAGGCATTGCCCGACGAGGTAGATACGATTACATTCTAGAGGAAGGACAACTTTTAAATAATAATTTATTTGAATTACATAAATGTAATATTAACCTCGTACTTAAAGCGGGCTCTCAATATTCTAACATTCAGCCTTTAGTCGTTTCGTACTCAAAATATAGTTGCTTGCCTACGTCAATAAATAATGTATTGCTTAAATTATATCAAGTTATGCATTTCATGCGTTTAGTTGAGTTACGGAAAAGAATTGGAAATAATTTGAATAAGGGCCGTGATGAATTGCAATGGTTTTGTTGTGCTTACTTTCACTTCGAGTGAAAGACGACGGCGGATTCCTCTTGACCAGCTGTCGATTGGCTTTACTGGAACATTCATGCAGATGCTGTTTCCGAGGCTAAGCTTTCGTACGTCATATGGCCCACTCGCAGTCCAGCCATTAATCCATGAAATATCAATTTGTCAAGTTCACATGCTTGATAGTTGCCCAAATGTGACCTACCTGTTTAAGGATAAAAGCCAAATTTGCCCGGAATGTCATATCCATTTTGTGCTGTGCAGTATTGCAGCCTCACATGTACAAATAAATTGTTACTGGTTTGGCCAGCATTTGCTAAGTTTGATTACATTTTTGGAGCTAAAATCCCTCGAATAGGACCTAATTTTATGTTCTGCGGTAAAGATACTAATATACACTGTTTCTTCCTAATATTCTCTTCCATTTACAGGAATTCAGAAGTATTTGGGTCCAACAACTTTTATGGCAACACATGCTAGTCTCGTTCATTTTCATAGTCTGACTTGAACGAACGTGTTCTGATTAATGGTTTTGCTCAAAAGCCTATAACGAATCTCATTGAAACTGGGATGACTGAAAATGCAAGCGTATGGAGATAAATTGATCCAGTAAATAAAAATTGAGTAAAACTCCGTATGAACTATTTGAAACTGGATTTTTTTAGATATTTATATCCTATTTTTGTCAGCCAATAAGAAATTAAACACTTCAAATATATAGACTGTAAGTTATTTGCATCTACGTCAATTTAAGATAATCGCAATCTAAAGAGAATTAAAAAGTAGTATGAAATTATTGGTACTTTTGGTGAGGAGAATTGGTTTCAGTGTGCCACCTATCCGGAATTGAGTACACTTTTGATCCAGTTCGCAAAATCCCTTCAGGAAATGGACGCTATAAACCGTATGTTCAGGTGCCAGCGAGATACATTAGAGGCGTTACAGTCAAGAGCCCTTTAATGGAAAACTTTATGGAGAAAGCCCAATCAAAAGGGGTCATTTAATTCGATTTGAACCTATCCACGGGGAATCTGAGAAAGCATTCAAAGTTAAAAAACAGGTTAATGAATATATTTATTAATCTATCTTTCAGTATTTTAAGCAGAGCTACTTCGTAAAGCCTTAAAGTACAATGTTATCTTTATTTTTCGAATAAAGTATTGTTTTCGTGACTACCAGTAAATCAGTGATATGAGATGTACTCACCCAATTTCGTTTAAGATGATGAAGGACTTGTAGAAGAAGAATTTTCTTACAATGGAAACGTCAGCTCAACTCATAACACTTTGGCAAAATTCTTCTTTTACCAGTCCTTCATCACCCTAAACGAAATTGGGTAAATACATCTCATACTATTATCTTTGCTATGGTAATCGACTAAATTACTTCGCTTTTGCAAATACGAAGACTAAGATAATGTGATATTTTGTTTGGTTGCCGTCTCCTTTAGATTTATAGTGTTGCTTCGATCATGTTTTAGCAACTTGATCGGAGCGTCACGGAGATCCTGTGGAACGTATCTAGTCCCCTAGAATAGTATGAGTGATTTACACTCATTTTTCGTTCATAAGTAGGGTTTCGAGCCTACAAGTTAATGAATTCTATGAGGTGTAGTCACCCTATTTGGTTTAAGTTTATGAAGGTCTGGTACTTGAATTTTCCCACAAGGATGTAAATGGAGGTGACGTTTTCATTGACTTACACAGCCGAAAGTGTCGCTGCTCTTTCATCGTTCGATTTCCGCTGGAGGTATTGGTAACACCGAGGCGAGGTCAAAACTGCACTCTACCCAAGATAAAAGCACCCTTTGAGAAGGCATTGCTATGTGGAGATCAATGTAAACGTCAATTCTACTCATATTATTGTACGAAATTTCAACCACCAGTCCTTTATCAACTTAAGGGAAATAGAGTGAATAAAGTCCATATGACTGATTTCCTGGTAGTCTCATAATTTTTCACCCAGTTACTAGGAGGGCAGACATATCCACTTTTGGTATCGTTGCTAAGAAAATGGAATATCAAGGTGATAACGGTCTGTTGACGCAACACAAGAGGTTTGACAAACCGGATGGCTCGGGAGTCTATAACATCAAATGCGACAACTGTGAGCAGAAGCATAGTTGGGAAAGAGGAATAAAAATGAGCCTACAAATGAAGTAACA